CCTACAGTGATCAGGCTGAGCATTGCAACCAGGCGAGAGGCTGCAGCAGGGGCTGATGTGCGTTAGACATTTCTGAACTGCCCAGACACTGGGATTTACATGACTGTGGCATCCCTGAGCCGGCATTTCATGCCCAGGAAGTAGATGGTGATCCTGGGAGGATGCCCGAAGAAAGATGGTGCCATCCTTCTGAAGAGAAAAGCAGATGAAAGCATTGTCAGTACAGCGATTGAAGTGATGCGTAATGAAAATATATCCGATTCTTGGGACACATCTTACCCTGATAGCAGTGCAAGTGGGCTGCCTTTTTTTTTTTTATTTAAGCCAATTCCCCTGTCACAATACCATAGGGAGTCACATGACAGGAGGCTTCAGTCCAGAAGTGCAATTGCCACTGCATTCAGACAGCCGCAGGTGCCGACTGTCGGATGGAGATCCCTCCATCCATGCTGGGAGACAGAGGATTGGATATATTCCCATAGAAGTCTATGGGGCATGAACGTGGAGGCGTGGTGGTCATCGAAGACTCACTGCTGAAGGTAAACGGTCACCTGATCAAGGTAGGTAGCGGGGATGGGCTAGGTCAGGGGAAAAGGGCAAGAAGGATTAAATGCAACGAGCACCTGTCTTTTACTGTAACTTCTATAGCGCTTGTATACTAGGGGTGAGCAACTCCAGCCCCCTGGCTGCGCTTTGACTACAAATCCCAATATGCCTCTGGGAGTCGTGACTGGAACTTTCAGTGTTGCAAGGCCTCATGGGACCTGTAGTTCAAAAGCTGGAGGGCCAGAGTTGCCCACCGCTGCTGTATAGCTTGGCGTTACTTCTATAGTGCCTGTATACCAGGGGCGGGCCCTCCAGCTGCGCTTTAACTACAAATCCCAATATGCCTCTGGGAGTCGTGCCTGGAACCGTCAGTCTTGCAATGCGTCATGGGACTTGTAGTTCCACCACAGCTGGAGGGCCGGAGTTGCCCACCCCTGCTGTATACCTTGGTGTTACTTCTATAGTGCCTGTATAGCAGGGGTGGGCAACTCCCAGCTGTGCTTTTACAAATCCCAACATGCCTGTAACCGTCGGCCTTGCAATGCCTCATGGGACTTGTAGTTCCACCACAGCTGGACGGCCGGAGTTGCCCACCCCTGCTGTATACCTTGGCGTACCTATATAAAAACTACAACCATGCGTCAGAGGTTAAAGCTCTCCGAACTCGATGCTCCGGGACTTTGCAAACCATACCAGCGGAAAGCCGGCAACCACGCTGCGTGTGGTGCGACTGCGGAAGGGAGATTAGATTGCGAGCTCTGAGGGCGCTGGTCGTACTTTGTGAACAGAGCGCGGCGATGCAAAACGCAACACCAATCCGGGAAAAGCAAAGTCTGTAAAAACTTGCTAAACATGTACCCGAGGAGGGTATGCCA